GCAAATTCAACCACCTTCCTGGGTCTACAAGTTTTCAGGTCACACCTAGGAAATCAAATTTGTATCTCCAGGAAAAGTGCATAGAATTGTTAAGCACACCACAAGAAGGAGAAGTCCAAATGTCTATTTCAGAAGGAGTTGTTTTACATTTGGAACGATTGTATTGACAAATATTTAGAATTTTCATTCCCTCTCCAATAGTTAGTCAGAATTCACTGCTTAATTAACATGCTCCATTTTCAGCTAGCAGCATGCCCAGCTCTCTATCACGAGGAATTTTATTATTTTTTTTTAAAAAAACACACTTCTGCAAACTTTAGGAACTTCTTCAAGCCTATTTATGCCTCCCACTTGTACACAAATAATACCGTTCTAACTTAGCGAAGCATCCAGATTAAGAAAGGTGTTCTCTGTTAGTACACACGATATATTGTTAACTAAAGTTTTATTCAGCTGCTGAGGCTTGCTAGAGTTGAAATCTGATTGGTCCCTCTGCTCTCTGGTGTATCATGACCTTGGTGCTAGAAACCACAAAGACCTCTGGAGACCCCCAAGTGTCATACAGGTAGGTGCAAGGAGATGTCAGGTGTGCTGAACTGAAAATTCTTTGTCTGGACATGCCCTTAGGGCTGCTTCATGCAGAACATAACTTCCTTTTGAAAATAAACCCATATAGGAAAAAATGTTTAAACTCACATAGAATAGAGCCTATATAGGAAACATTGTAAACAATCAAAGCACAGTGGGTGTTAGTGCAGTCTTCATAACTGCGTGTGTGTGTCAACAAGGAGATTATCTTTATGAGAAAGAAGCACTATGTGTCTCTCATTCCTATTCTTTAGTTTACCCATATGTCATAAAACTAACAGTTTAAAACTAAACTGTTAGTTTTAAGGAAGACTGTTTATTTTGTCTTCCTTAAAACATGATTTAAAGGCAAATATATTTTAAGGGAGAGTAGATTTTTTTGGGCAACTTCAAGGAACACTTCTGTAACTCTGCTAAATATATATGGATTTTTGTGCATTGGCATGTTTTTGTCCCTGGCAGTTTAAAGACATACCTAGGTACATCAGTTTAACAGCCGAGAGAGCTAGTTGGCCTGCATGAATGCTGATGAATGCCATTTTTCAAAAAGGGTTATGACTTCTAACAAAGCCATGCCTTTCCTGTGACCAGTGATTTTCCCAAAAGTTTATTAATCCCATTTCCCAAATGGTTATGGAGATTCACATTTTCCAAAATTACACATATTTCCTCATTCTTGGCTTCCAGATACTTCTTGAATTACTTTATAAAAAGACACCAAAGTATTGGATGTACTTGTTTCATGGACACTGTCACTACAAGTTAGATCAAAGAAACTGATGATCAATTGAGTATGGATTGTGGGATTACCTATTCTGGACTCTCTCAAATTGTGGTCACAGTTATAGATCCCTTTTCCCCATCATTGGTTTGACTAATCACCAAATGTCCATTGACTTGTCTTTAAACACACCCCACTATCCAAAGGCAATATACACTGCAAGCTTTAATTTTCTATGCACTGACCTCAAAGAAGCACATGCAATTTCAGACGGCTTCAGCTTACGTCCTTTTGATTCTTAGATACCCAACTGGACATTCAGGGAACCTTCACACCCTCTCCTATTTCCAAAGAGATTGTTATGATTCCTTTAAAAGACATACCATAAATGTCAACAGAGGGCATACAACTGTTGTGTTTATGGAATATGGAGTGATATACAAACTTTAGAGGCAGCCCATTTGTTCAGCCATCTGTCCACGAGAATTAGATGATTGTAACAGTGTGGGGAAGTCATAAAAGACTTTGTACACCGGGGATTGACAAGATCTAGGAATTTAGGCAGTTCTCTGAGAACAAAGTAATGTAATGAAGTGATTAATGAACCAAGGGACACTAAAATGGATGTTTATTTGAACAGCAAGGTGACATTGGTGGTCAATCAACATTGCAACTGTGCCAAATTCAAAACCGCAGGACTTTTATACATCTTGTAGAGAAGGCATGGGCAAACTTGGGCCCTCCAGATGTTTTGGACTTCAACTCCCACCACCCCTAACGGCCTCAGGCCCCTTCCTTTTCCTTTCCTTTCATTTAATTTTTGATGTGTTTTAACAGTGACTTTGTTTCTGATTGTATTTAATTGTCAACTTCTTTGAAGGGTATAAGGTGAGAGAGAAAATTAACAAGCAAACATAGGATTATTTACTATATATTATGGATTTAATTTAATGACAGGCATATCTTACTGTTGCAAACTACATTACACTTCTTTTAATATGTGTGCGCATGTGTGTGTCTGTGTGTGAGAGAGCAAGAATGAGTATCAGCCATACTTGAATCAAAACATTTATTTTCCAAAAGATAAGGGCCAAATGGAGGACTTGCTGCATAATATTAGCATCTCACCAAAACTTCATCAAGCTTTGAGGAGATCTTATTTTACTTGTTGTTGTTTATTCGTTCAGTCACTTCTGACTCTTCATGTCCTCATGTACCAGTCTACCCAGAGCTCCCTTTCGGCTGTCGCCACCCCCAGCTCCTTCATGGTCAAGCCAGTCACTTCAAGGACAGCATCCACTGATCTTGCCCTTGGTTGGTCCCTCTTCCTTTTGCCTTCCATTTTCCCCAGCATCATTGTTTTCTCCAGACTTTCCTGTCTTCTCGTGATGTGGCCAAAGTCTTTGCCTCTACTATCCTCCCCTCCAATGAGCAGTTGGGCTTTATTTCCTGAAGTATGGACTGGTTGGATCTTCTTGTGGTCCAAGGCATTCTCAGAACTTTCCTCCAGCACCACAGTTCAAAAGCATCTATCTTCCTTTGCTCAGTCTTCCTTCTTTAACTATGCGGATCTTTGTTTCCAGTGTGATGTCTCTACTCTTCACTATTTTATCGAGATTGGTCATTGCTCTCCTCCCAAGAAGTAAACATCTTCTGATTCCCTGGCTCCAGTCTGCTTCTGCAGTAATCTTTGTGCCTAGAAATACAAAGCCTGCCACTGCCACCACGTTTTCTCCCTCTTTTTGCCAGTTATCAATCAGTCTGGTTGCCATAATCTTGTTTTTTTATGTTTAACTGCAACCCAGCTTTTGCACATTCTTCTTTCATCTTGGTTAGAAGGCTCCTCAGCTCCTCCTCAATTTCAGCCATCAAAGTGGTATCATCTGCATATCTAAGGTTGTTCATGTTTCGTACAGCAATTTTAACTCCAGCCTTGGGTCTTCACAAACCCTAACAAAAGAAGAGTTGGCAGGAGAAGGTAGAGAAAATAGCTCTGGCCAAGGCACAGATTTGCCTCAAAGCGAGGCAGTGAATATGCTGGTCAGTTCATCAAGCTGGACACCAGGCTTGGGCAAACTTTGGCCTTCCCTAGGTGTTTTGGACGTCAACTCCCACCATTCCTAACAGCCGCAGGCCCCTTCCTTTTCTCTTGCTGTGGAGAATGACATGATCCAGAAAAATGAGTAAGAACAGACAAGTTGAATAGGTCGGGTGGGAGTATACAGCCTTGCTGTACTCCTTTCCTAATCTTGAACCAGCCTGTTGTTCCTTGGTTGGTTCTTATTCAACAATATGATGCGGCAGCAAAAAAAAGCCAATGGGATTTTGGCCTGCATCAATAGGAGTATAGTGCTTAGATCCAGGGAATTCATGCTACCCCTCTATTCTGCCTTGATTAGACCACACCTGGAATACTGTGCCCAATTCTGGGCACCACAATCGAAGAGAGATATTGACAAGCTGGAATGTGTCCAGAGGAGGGCGACTAAAATGATAAAGGGTCTGGAGTGGCTTAAAGAGCTGGGCATGTTTAGCCTGAAGAAGAGAAGGCTGAGAGGAGACATGATAGCCATGTATACATATGTGAGAGGAAGTCATAGGGAGGAGGGAGCAAGCTTGTTTTCTGCTGCCCTGGAGACTGGGACATGGAACAATGGCATCAAACTACAAGGGAGATTCCACCTGAACATTAGGAAGAACTGCCTGACTGTGAGAGCTCCTTCAGCGGTGGAACTCTCTGCCCTGGACTATGGCGGAGGCTCCTTCTTTGGAGGCTTTTTAACAGAGGCTGGATGGCCATCTGTTGGGGGTGCTTTGAATGCAATTTTCTGCTTCTTGGCAGGGGGTTGGACTGGATGGCCCATGAGAATTGGACACAGTGTGGTCTGACCAAGGCAGAGAGGGGTAGCATGACTTCCCTAGATCTAGACACTATACTCCTATTTCTGCAGGCCAAAATCCCATTGGCTTTTTTTGCTGCTGCATGACATTGTTGGCTCATGTTTAACTTGTTGTCCTCGAGGACCCCGAGATCTTTTTCACATGTACTGCTCTTGAGCCAGGTGTCCCCCATTGTGTGTCTTTGTATTTCTTTTTTTTTTTCCTGCCTAAGTGGAGGATCTTTCATTTGTCACTGTTGAACTTCATTTTATTAATTTTGGCCTATCTCTCTAATCGTTCAGTTGAATGGGTTGGGTGGGAGTATACAGCCCTGCTGGACTCCTTTCCCAATCTTGAACCAGTCTGTTGTTCCTTGGTCTGTTTTTACCCATTTTTCTGGATCATGCCATTCTCCACAGCAAGAGGAAAGAAAAGGAAGGGGTCTGAGGCTGTTAGGAATGGTGAGAGCTGAAGTCCAAAACACCTGGAAGGAAGGCCAAAGTTTGCTCAAACCTGGTGTACATCTAGCTTGATGAACTGACCAGCAAATTCACTGAGACAAATCTGTGCCTTGGAGTGCGGTGCGCTTTGGCCAGAGCTCCTTTCCTTGCCTTCTCTCCTGCCAACTCTTCTTTCGCCGGGGTTTGTGAAGACTACTGCTTGGCTCCTATCTTGTCTCTTCCACGAGAAGACTCTGGTGGCGCTCCATTGTGTCTCTTCGGGCAGGACTCGGATTGGGACTCCCAAGTGGGCGACTGGGGCTTGCCCCGCTTCGCCCACTCCCACCCCCTCTTCCTTCCTTCCTTTCGGGGGGAGAGAGAGGAGGGGGCGGAGCCAGCGCTGCTCCTGCCGCCTGGGATTGATGGATGAGTTGCTCCTTGGGCGAGGAGGGTGTCTTGGAGAGAGAGACAGAGAGACAGAGAGAGCGGCGGAGAGAAGAAGGGAAGAAGCGAGGCAGCGGTGTGCCAGGGGCTGCTTCCTCCTTGCCTTGCTCTTCTTCTCCTCCTTCTCCTTCGTGACCCCCTTCTCCGCCAAGGGGGAGACCATGCTGGGGGCAGCCCCTCGCTAGAGCCCGGCAGCATGGCTCCGAGGAAGCGGGCGGCGGCGGCGGCGCGGTGGGCTCTGCTGCTGCTTGCCTCCTGGGCGGCCCTTGGCGTCTCCGGGGCCGGCGCCTGTCCCGCCTTGTGCGCCTGCAGCGGCACCACCGTCGACTGCCACGGGCTGGGGCTCCGCGCCGTCCCCAAGAACATCCCCCGCGGCGCAGAGAGGCTGTAAGTGCCGCCCGAAGCCTTCGGAGCGGGGCCGGGGCTTCCCTTCTTCTCCCCCTTCTTTCCTTCCTTCCTTGCTGCCTTCCCTCCGCCGGGGCTTGGGCGCCACACCCCCTTCTTCTCCTCCTTCTCCTTCTCCCTCCCGGCCTCACAATGGATCTCACTCAGGATGCCTCCTCTTCTCCTTGGGACGAAAGAAGGGAGAGCTGGGCTGGGCTGGGCAGGGGTCTCCTCGGCTCTCCCGGTGTGTCTTTGCAGGGCGGGGGCGCAGCTGGGCACAATGCCCCGGCCGCCTTTGTTCGGGATCCCACTCTGGAGGGAGGTGCGTGGGCAGCCGAGAAGTCGCGGCTCCCCTGGCTTCAGCCGAACCCCTTTCAGGGGCCACGCAGCCCTGCGTCCCGATTGTGCTGGGCTCCATCTCTGGCCAGTCATTCGGGCTTTCCTCTTTCTTCCTTCCATCACTGTGATCGCCAACTTTCGGGGCTTCCGAAACCATACAGTACATAGATGCGTATGTCTATTGATGTGCTGCTCAAGGCTTCCAATCACTGAGTTGCTGAGAGTTTCCCGGGCTGTCTGGCCATGTTCCAGAAGCATTCTCCCCTGACGTTTTGCCTGCATCCGTGGCAGGCAGCCCCAGAGGTCAGGAGCCCCCAGTGGAGCGTTGTTTCTTAAGCCGCAACCTGTAAACACAGTTCCTCATGTTGTGTTGACACCCGACCATAACATTATTTTCGTTGCTATTTCATAACTTGTCATTTTGCTACTGTTATGAATTGTCACGTCAATATCTGATACTAGCCGCCCCCTGCCACGCGTTGCTGTGGCCCACATGGGGGTTCTGTGTGGGAGGTTTGGCCCAATTCTATCGTTGGTGGGGTTCAGAATGCTCTGTGATTGTAGGTGAACTATAAATCTCAGCAGCTACAACTCCCCAATGTCAAGATTCTATTTTCCCCAAACTCCACCAGTGTTCACATTTGGGCATATTGAGTATTTGTGTAGAGTTTGGTCCAGATCCATCATTGTTTGAGTCCACAGTGATCTCTGGATGTAGGTGAACTACAACTCCAAAACCAAAGGACACTGCCCACCAAACCCTTCCAATATTTTCTGTTGGTAGTGGGAGAACTGTGTGCCAAGTTTTGTTCGATTCCATCATTGGTGGAGTTCAGAATGTTCTTTGATTGTAAGTGAACTATAAATCCCAGCAACTACAACTCCCAAATGACAATCAATTTTTGAGTGAAGGACATACATTTGGTTGTTAGGTGTCTTGTGTCCAAATTTGGTGTCAATTTGTCCAGTGTTTTTTGAGTTCTGTTAATACCACAAACGAACATTACATTTTTATTTATATAGATGCAGTATGTATTTTCCTTCACTGGACCAAATTTGGCACAAATAACCAATTCGCCCAGATTTGAATACTGGTGGGGTTGTGGAGGGATTGATTTTGTCATTTGGAAGTTGTAGTTGCTGGGATTTACGGTTCACCCACAATCAAAGAGCATTCTGAACCCCACCGATAGAATGGGCCAAACTTCCCACACAGAACCCCCATGACCAACAGAAAATACTGGGTTTTCTGATGGTCTTTGGAGACCCCTTTGACATCCCCCCATGACCCCCCCCCCAGGGGTCCTGATCCCCAGGTTGAGAAACACTGGATTAAACCCTTGTGCTGGCAGGACTGAAGACTGACAGGTCGGAGGTACGAACGCAGGGAGAGCGTGGATGAGCTCTCTCTGTCAGCTCCAGCTCCCCATGCGGGGACATGAGAAAAGCCTGCCACAAGGATGGTAAAACATCCGGGCATCCCCTGGGCAATGTTCTTGCAGACAGCCAATTCTCTCAAACCAGAAGTGACTTGAAATTTCTCAAGTTACTACTGGCATGAAAAAAATATCCCCATAGGTTGTGATATCTGTTGGAAACTAGGCAAGTAAGGTTTATATATCTGTGGAATGTCCAGGGAGGGAGAAAGAACTCTTGTCTGCATGAGGCAAGTGTGAATGTTGCAATTGCCCATCCTGATTAGCAATGACTAGCTTTTCAGCTTCAAGGTTTGGCTGCATCCTGCCTGGGGGAATCCTTTGTTGGAAAGTGTTAGCTGGCCTTAGAATCATGGAGTTGATAGAGACCTTGTGGGCCATGCAGTCCAACCCTCTGTCAAGAAGCAGGAGAATTGCATTCAAAGAACCCCCAAGAGATGGCCATCCAGCCTCTGCTTAAGAGCCTCCAGAGAAGAAGTCTCCACCACACTCCAGGGCAAAGAGTTCCACTGCTGAACAGCCCTGATTGACTTCCCCTGTTTCTGAGTGTTGTTATTTACTGTCCTGATTTTAGGGTTTTTTAATACTGGTGGCCAGATTTTGTTCATTTTCATGTTGTTTATTCGTTCAGTCATTTCCAACTCTTTGTGAGCCCATGGACCAGAGCTCCCTGTTGGCCATTGCCACATCCAGCTCCTTCAAGGTTGAGTGAGATCCTTCAAGGATACCATCCATCCACCTTGCCCTTGGTTGGCCCCTCTTCCTTTTCCCTTCCATTTTCTCCAGCATAATTGTCCTCCTCAAGCTTTCCTGTCTTCTCATGATGTGGCCAGAGTGCTTCATCTTTGCCTCTAATATTCTTCCCTCCAGTGAGCAGTTGGACATTATTTCCTGGAGTATGGACTGGTTGGATCTTCTTGTGGTCCAAGGCACTCTCAGAATTTTCCTGCAGCACCACAGTTCAAGTGCTTCTGTCTTCCTTTGCTCAGCCTTCCTGATTTTCATTTTCATTTTAAATGTTCATTTTCATGGTTTCTTCCTTTCTGTTGAAATTGTCCACATGCTTGTGGATTGCGATAGCTTCGCTGTGTAGCCTGACATGGTGGTTGTTACGAGTGGTCCAGCATTTTTGTGTTCTCAAATAATATAATGTGTCCAGGTTGGTTCTAGTTAACACCTCCCAACAAAGGATTGGTTCCAGCTAATACCTCTCAACAAAGGATTCCCCCAGGCAGTAAGCAGCCAGACCTTGAAGCTGAAATGCTATTCAATGCTAATCAAGGTGGCCAATTGAAACATTCACACCTGCCTCAAACAGACAAGAGTTCTTTTTCCTACCCTGAATATTCCACAAATATATAAAGTTCACTTGCCTAGTTTCTAACAAACCTCATAATCTCTGAGGATGTCTACCATAGATGTGGGTGAAATGTCAGGAAAGAGTGGTTCTGGAACATGGCCATATAGCTCAAAAACCTCACAGCAACACTGTATATGTGCACAATGTTGTGTATGTGCATAGTATGTATATATATGTATGTATATGTATATACACATATACATACATACATCCCTCCTACAGTCCTGCCTCAGTCGCTTGGTTTCTTCACTGGTCTTCTTGTCATCTTGCCTCTGGGAGATCCCTGGGGAAAATCTTCAGTGGAAGTGACTCCTCTCTTTCTTTCTCTCTTGCTCTCTTGCTTTGTGCATAATATTTGTGTGAGATGCCTGTGCCAACAGAAGTGGATGGCTGGGACGAAGAGAAGGGGGAAAGCTGACCAATCTCTAAGGCACACTCACCGGAGCAGTCCTTCTCCCACAGTGGTTCCCAGCCTTTGGTTCTCCAGGTGTTTTGGACTTCAGCTCTCACAATTCCTAACAGCTGGAAAACTGGCTGGGATTTCTGGGAGCTGAAGTCCAAAACACCTGGAGGACTGAAGTTTGGGAACCACTATCTTAGAAAGTCCACCCAGGAAAGGCTCTCTGTCAACACTTCGAGGCCTAGTTTGTTTTACACACCACCAAAATATTGTCTGAATCAGGGCTGGGGGTGTAGTGAGGGGTGTTTTGTGAAGATCTGTGGGGATCTGCAGGTGGTGGGGGTGTCAGTCTTCTTCTGGTCTCAATCCCTGCCTCTTTTTCCCAGTCTCCCACATCGCTGTGAAGAAGACATGCCCTCTGCTCCCTTGGCCCTCTCTTCGCCCTTCTTCAATTCACCTGCTCAGTAGTTTGATGAGAAGTGAGGAAAGAGGAGGATCCCTTTGGGGAGATCTTAATTTTCTGGATCATGCCTTTCCCCAAAGCAAGAGAGCCTGGAGCAGTGGCAAACCGTTTGGCAAATGAAGAGGGAGCCAGGCAGGGAAATGTGGCCAAGAGGCAGAAGGCAAGGGCAGCCTAGATCCACAGAGTGCCTTTCATCTCTGCCTGCGAGGCTCTGAATGATCCCAAATAAAGGCAGGAGGGGGGAAAAGGAAGGAAGGAAGGGCAGTTCCACTGGAAAAGGGCTGATCATTAACGTGCCCCTCCATAACCCCTGCCCTGACCTGGCTGGAAGGCGCCTCATTCCTTTGCAGCCCTGTGGAGGTGGCCATTGCTTTGATGGGGAAGGAAGGGAGGGTGTAAAGAGGGGAATCAAGCTGGAGGGGATGCTAAATAATTCACCAGAATGCAGCACTGGAACGTGCTGTTGACGCTGGGGGGACCCAGGGGTTGAGTGGTTGGATTAATTGCAGCTGAGCAGAATATTCCCCTCTTGTGCCCCTGGAGACCTTGTGTTTCTTTCCATTTTCCTTTGACCTTAAAAAAAAGGAGGAATCTGCCTTGGAACTGCCTGGAGGAATATCTGCTCAAAGTCAGGCGGACAGAGTTGCTGGATTTTGCCCATCCCTGATCTCACCCTCCCTTTGACAGGCCTTGTGCCTCTTTCCACTTCAGTTTTGCTCAAGACCCTTCTCTCAATGTATTGCTCCCCTGCGCCCTGGCCCATGCCCCCCCTCCTCCAGTTTGCTGTCTCCTTCTCTGAGGAATGTCTCTCTAGCAGCCAGACAGGCTAGGATGGAGCTTAATGCATAGGATATGCTTTCATGTCTGGCTGCAGGACAACCTAGTAAAGGACAGGGATGGCATATGGCCCAAAATACTAATAGGGGTGATTCATGTGAACATCAGCTGTAGCAGAAGCTCCTGGGAACTCCCCTAAACTAGTGAGGAAGGCACTAAACCTCATGT